ACGCAGTATATAAGTCGGAACGGCCGGGATCGGCCGACTATATCCTATAGCTGCCATATAACTGATTGATCGGAAATGCCATAACTTTCGTGTTTGTAAAGTTAGGAAGTTGGGATTTTCTATGGGTTTTATATTTGGCCAATCAATCCGACCTACCAAATTTCATAAGGATCGGCCGACTATATCCTATAGCTGCCATATAACTGATTGATCGGAAATGCCATAACTTTGGTGTTTGTAAAGTTAGAAAGTTGGGATTTTCTATGGGTTTTATATTTGGCCAATCAATCCGACCTACCAAATTTCATAAGGATCGGCCGACTATATCCTATAGCTGCCATATAACTGATTGATCGGAAATGCCATAACTTTGGTGTTTGTAAAGTTAGAAAGTTGGGATTTTCTATGGGTTTTATATTTGGCCAATCAATCCGACCCACCAAATTTCATAAGGATCGGCCGACTATATCCTATAGCTGCCATATAACTGATTGATCGGAAATGCCATAACTTTGGTGTTTGTTAAGTTAGGAAGTTGGGATTTTCTATGGATTTTATTTTTGGCCAATCAATCCGACCTACCAAATTTCATAAGGATCGGCCGACTATATCCTATAGCTGCCATATAACTGATTGATCGGAAATGCCATAACTTTGGTGTTTGTAAAGTTAGGAATTTGGGATTTTCTATGGGTTTTATATTTGGCCAATCAATCCGACCTACCAAATTTCATAAGGATCGGCCGACTATATCCTATAGCTGCCATATAACTGATTGATCGGAAATGCCATAACTTTGGTGTTTGTAAAGTTAGAAAGTTGGGATTTTCTATGGGTTTTATATTTGGCCAATCAATCCGACCCACCAAATTTCATAAGGATCGGCCGACTATATCCTATAGCTGCCATATAACTGATTGATCGGAAATGCCATAACTTTGGTGTTTGTTAAGTTAGGAAGTTGGGATTTTCTATGGATTTTATTTTTGGCCAATCAATCCGACCTACCAAATTTCATAAGGATCGGCCGACTATATCCTATAGCTGCCATATAACTGATTGATCGGAAATGCCATAACTTTGGTGTTTGTAAAGTTAGGAATTTGGGATTTTCTGTGGGTGTTATATTTGGCCAATCAATCCGACCTACCAAATTTCATAAGGATCGGCCGACTATATCCTATAGCTGCCATATAACTGATTGATCGGAAATGCCATAACTTTGGTGTTTGTAAAGTTAGAAAGTTGGGATTTTCTATGGGTTTTATATTTGGCCAATCAATCCGACCCACCAAATTTCATAAGGATCGGCCGACTATATCCTATAGCTGCCATATAACTGATTGATCGGAAATGCCATAACTTTGGTGTTTGTTAAGTTAGGAAGTTGGGATTTTCTATGGATTTTATTTTTGGCCAATCAATCCGACCTACCAAATTTCATAAGGATCGGCCGACTATATCCTATAGCTGCCATATAACTGATTGATCGGAAATGCCATAACTTTGGTGTTTGTAAATTTAGGAATTTGGGATTTTCTGTGGGTGTTATATTTGGCCAATCAATCCGACCTACCAAATTTCATAAGAATCGGCGGACTATATCCTATAGCTACCATATAACTGAACGATTGGAAATGCCATAACTTTGTTGTTGTTAAAGCTAGGAAGTTCGGATTTTTTATGAGTATTAAGAATGCATCATATGAATAATTTTGGAGAATGTAATTTACAGAGTATTCTGCAAGGGTATATCAACTTCGGCTCCGCCCGAAGTTAGCTTTCCTTTCTTGTTTATTCTTCAAAACTACCAAGAAAAGTATTTCAGTTAATTCCTCTCACCATTCAAGCGAATTTTCCTAGATTGTACCAGCTCTTTGCACTGCTCCACTGCAGTGCACTGGAGAGCTCAACTGACTGCGAAATTGTTTGGCAACCACAAAAAGAACTGACAGAGAAAGGACCATCAGAGAACACGGCACAGATAAGACCGCCAACTTGTTTGCTTAATAAATAAACTTTATATTCATAACTGAAAAAGTTTCGCAACATGCCTCCTGCCATTTCCCCCAGCGAAACAAACGTGGCCGCTAATTTGCGTGCCAAAAAGTTTTGCCGCTGAATAGTATGCTATGAAATTTGGCAAAACTACGCGACGGCATTTCCGTTGCCAGAGCGCCAAGGCAGAACATAAATTATATGAGCGTTTCCGCATCACGAGCACTCCGAAAAAAACTAGCAAGATTACTGCATAATAAAAACAATTTACGAATTTTTAATTGAAAGGCGAGTTATCGATCTAACACAAATCGCTTAAAAAGTAAAGTAAAACCACTATCAACCAATCCACCATTTTTTTTTGTTAAAACTATTTCGTAGATAAGGTCTGGAAACAAAATATTAAAAAAGCTTATACTTTAAATGTTGCAAATAACAAACAACAATAAACAAAATATATTTTAAAGCTCGCTATGACAACACAAATTTATAATTAAATATAAATGCAGTGTGCCAATATGTATAAAATTCAAAGACATATATAAAATTCAAAGACTTGGAACCAATATTTGAACATCTTATATTTTATATTTATTTTTCTGTTATTTATATAAAATTATTTGTTTAATGGCTTATCCTTACTATTGCTTATATACATAATATAAGCTTTTAAAGTTACACCAAATTTGTTAATTAAAAAAAATATGTCTTTTTAAATTTAAGAATTGATGCTTTGATATTTTGTTTAGTGTCCCTAGCTGCGGCTTTTCTCAAGACGCTATCTGCACCGCAGCAAGGGGCTCTTGCTAATCACAAAAGTTTTCGGTTTTCAGCTACCTTCAATTCGGACTCGGAAAAGAGGGAAAAGGGGACGGGCCGATAAACTTACGGGTTAAATACCCTTTGGCCCGCACAGCCTCAGTCTGATTAACAAGACATAATTACTTTCGCATTAAGCGGCTGCCTAATAGCTCGTGTAGTTGCCCAACTCCCAGCACACGCTAATCAGCTCATCAGACACAACAAACTAAAGAAAACAACATTTTAAATTTCAAATTACAAAATACAAAAAAGGCACGTCAACAACGGTGGCAGCAAAATGAAATGAAATGTACGGCAAACCACTCGAAGATAATGAAAGTGCATTGAGGCGGTAAAAGTCGGGGAAACAGTATCAGGTCGAGTGCGAACATTTTTCCATTATGCAACGTGCCACATTCTTTGCTGTTCGAAAAGGAAGGCAGGAAAAACTAAAGAATGATCGACTTACAATTTGCCATTTATGAAAAGTGGAACAATAAATGATACTTGTGATTCTTTATAATTCTTTTTTATTTTTAATGAGGAAGAATTATTTATTTTAAGCTAATAAATTATTTTTTAAGTTATAAATAAATATGCATAATAGTTTTAACTGAAATTACTTCAAGAGAAAGTTAACTCGATGAGTGATTATAAAATGAAATATATTTAAAATTAAATTTCTAGTATAATATATTTATAACATCAACTAAAGTCATTTATAAAATTTGTTTGGGTTTAACTATACTGCTGGCAGAAACAGATTCAAAAGTCCTTTATATTTTCGACACTCAAAAAATATCTATTATCTTAACATATGTTTTATTTATTTTTTAATTGTTCGATGAAAAGTTTTCAATAAATAGTGTTATATGAATAATTTACGGTTGTCCATTGTTAACAGAACGATTTTTGTGCCGGATTGTTTATATTTCGATGTTACTTTTATTTAAAACACAGGGTAGAACCTCAGGTGTGAGTGAAGGGCAACCTGGAAAAATGCAACGTTTAACCGCCTGCGGAGAAATGTCTGCCGTTCGTTGGTTGGTGGACCACCCATTCCGCCTCCATTCCCCAGGAGCCGCATCTATATCCCAGCCTGATGAGAAAACGCTTCTATAGCGGACACATATAGAGGGTTAAAAGCCGGATCCGTTTGGACCAGAGCCAGCGAGTGACAACGTGGGCCCCACAACGGAAAGTGTGATTATATTTTCATTTTCAATTTTTTACGGCCAATTAATTTGGCAATTGACGCTTCGCTGGGCGTCTGCGCCATGGCAGAGATATATACACGTGGACATGTATATAGCCCTGGCGTTGTTGCAAATTGAGTTGTGTGGCAAGAATAAGAAAAGTCTATTATAGTGCCAGGATGGGTTGCCTGCCAGCTATTTGGTCGTTGCATTGTCTGGCCATCCTTGGTATCCGCTTGTTCTGTGGGCGGCCATTGTTTGGGGGCGTGGCAGCTGGCTGTAATCCCTACCAGCTCCTTGTTCCATTGCCATACCCCTGCACCCGATGGACATGCAATTTGCATTGAAATTGTTTTTCGAAATTAGAAAAGCCAGTCAGGTGAACGTGAAGTGGGTATGAGGTGCGATAAAACGATGATTTTGCCATTTTGTGGGAAAATCGAGAAAAGCTACTATTCTAATAAGGGTTAAATTTGAGTTTTGGGAAAGCCATTAATAGCCTTGGTGATAGATAGTTCCTTTCTGCCTACAATGTTTCTAAAGAGAAGAGCTGTTTAATGGAGCGAATCAAGGTGAGTTAAATCCTTTCAGTACTTACGATTACAGACATAATTATTGTCATATTAAATTAGCCTAAGTCTGCAAATTCGAGAATACAATTATTAACATTAAATCAACACATATTGAAAACTTAATTTTGAAACATAACATCTTGGTTGTAAAACCCAAATGTTGATTGACTGAAAATTTAAAGCTTCTATTGTCCCTTAGTCTAGTAATCTTGAAACATGAAAAGACAGATATTTAATGCTTGTTTGCATCGCTTGCGAAGACTTTAATTACAAATATAGATAAATCAGTTACAAGAATATTCAACATTTCGCTATTGTAATTTGATTTAGATTCGATAGACTTAAACTAGGATTCGTAGTGGTTTTCAGATGGGTCCAATGGCGATGGCTCGGCCTGTCGATCTCTTTCCGTTGGAAGTCCTTAATGGAGGGCTTAGTTGTCCTGGATGATGACCACATCCTGGAGAAGTACGTTGGAGAGCTGGAGCAGCTCCTGCTCGTTGCGGATGGGACGATCCAGGGGATAACCCAGGGGACGGACGTCCCGCAGGGAGGCGGAACCGATGCCAATGCTGATGTCGGGCACGATGTCGCGCTGCTGTTGCTCCACCAGGGGAGAAACCACAACCAGGAGCTGCATGGGCAGGCCCTCGGGTCTTCCACGAGGGAGCAGCAAATGCTGGGGGAAGCGTCCGTTCTCGCCGACCAACTCCTGGATGCCCACAACCTGTTGTTCCTGCTGGCCCTTCAACTGCAGCATCACCCGGCGGTAGATCTCTCCCAGGGGCGTCACATCGTTACTGGTCCAGGGGATGTCGACGGAGCGCTGCTGGACGCGATTGCGTCCCGACTGCAGCTGCACATTGATGGCATCCAGAAGGACAAAGTCACGGCGGCGCTCGTCGAGGGAGACGCCCTGTCGACCCTGCTGATTCTCTGCAGGTCCCAGGAACACGCGGATTATGGCATCCTGATCCTGGTCCGAGGTGATGTCCATGTCAATGGTGAAGGCCTTGTTGTTGAGGCGTCGCTGGCGACCCACAATCTCCTGCTGGACTCCCTGGTCCTGCTGCTGCTCGACCAGATTGCTGAGGTCCAAGTCGTTCTCCTCGATGCGAGTGCGCAGCTTGTCCACGCGCACATCGTTGATGGAAACACCACGCATCTGCAGCTGCTCCTGGCGGTAGGCTCCAAGGATTAGCTCGCGTTGCTGGTCCACGATCCTCACAATCCCGCGGAGAGTGTGCTGCACCACGGGATCGCTGAGGCGGATGCCCAGGCCAGTGCGATCGATCTGCTGGACATTGTTGTCCTCGACCACCTGGCGGATGATGTTCAGAATGCCCACCTGGCCGAGGCGACCCAGCAGGACATCGGCGATCAGGGACTCCACCTGGCGTTGCTCCTCCATCTGGCCAAGCAGCGAGTTGACATTCACCTGGTTCAGCACCTGGCCAATAACCTGCTGCAGACGCTGCTCAATCTGGCCGATCTGCCCGAGAACTTCACGGTTGCGCTGGGAATCGATGCGGATTTGGTTCATCCGGAGGGCGTATCTCTCGTTCTGCGACAGGCGGGGATTGTTGATCCACTGCTGCTGCTGTTGCTGCTGCTCGATCACCTGGCCCTGGGAGATGCTCTCCTGGTTGAGACGGGCCACCAGCTGGCGGAGGGTGTGCAGGAGGATCTCGCTGCGGCGGTTGTTGTTCTGCTGGCGGAGATTGGGCAGGCTGCGACGGCTTCGCACTCCCTGGCGGCGCTGAACATTATCATCGTCATCATCATCGTTGTCATCGTCATCATCGTCGTTTTGCTTCCTCTCCAGACGCTGCTGGCGGTTCCTTTGGAGCATCTCAAGGATCTCGTCGTCGCTCATCAACTGCAGGCGGTGTTCGCTGCGGATAAGCTTCAGAATGTCCTCATCCTGGATGGGACGATCTCCCAGGACACGGCGACCCTCGCCAATGGAGTCGATTCTGCGGGGCATATTCCTCTGCTTCTGCTGCTGCTGCTGTTGCTGTTGCTCCTGGATGTCCTGATTCAGGCGACGTCGGTTAATGTGCACCAAACGCTCATCGTCGCGGTCCACACTCTCCAGCTGATCGGCAATGCTCTGACGATCCTGTTGCACTCCCAAGCGACGTCCTTGCCTCTGGATCTGGCCCTGCTGCTCCTGCTCCTCATCCTGGTCCAAGTTCTGACGTTGACGCTTCATTTGCCAGTCGTTCTGACGCACCTCATCCAGCTGGCCAACCCGACGACCCTCACTCAAGCGATCTCCCCTCATCAAACCCATTAAACGCTGGCGTCCGGAAAGCTGATCCTGTTCTTGTTGGATGGCGTTCAGGCGACGACGGCTCACGTGGAGCAGCCGGTCACTGTTCACATTCACGGTGGGCAGGTCACGAACTCCTCCGATGCGGAGGCCTCCCTGGCTGATTCCACGCTGCAGGGGCACACGACCCATGCGAATATCGTCATTGTCGTCATCATCGTCGTTGTCGTTGTCGTCATCGCGGCGGAGGACTCGCTGGAAACGCTCCCTCTGGCTGCCATAGATGTTCCGACCCTGATCCTGATCCTGGTTCTGCTCCATGAGGCGACGACGGTTTACGCGCAGAAGGCGTCCAGTGTCCGAATCCTGACCCAGTTCCCTCTCCCTGATGTTCCATTGGGACTGATCACGATCACCGCCATTGATCCATTGCTGCTCCTGCTCCCTGTTGATCAGTTGGTCACGTTCCTGGTTAACATCCTCCTGCATGGCCAATTCCTGGATGAGATTTTGGACAAAGTTGCGCAGGGCAATGTCGTCCGTTAGCAGAGAGGTACCATCAATCTGTCCCTGGTTCTCGGCACGGATGACCAAGCGCTTCTGGCCCACAACATTTTGGCGGTTCTTCTGCTGCTGCCTCATCAGAGCCATCTGCATGTGAATCTCCCGCCAGGGCATCAGGATGTTCAGCACAGGATTGATACCCCGCTGGCGCAGACCCACAATGTCGATGAGCGAGGGTCGCTGGGTTTGCTCCCTTTGGATGCCGCGCACCTGCTCGATCACATCCTCATCCAGATACAATTCGGGCAGCAGCTCCTGGACGGCGGGCACAATCAGGGAGCGGGTGTCCTCACGATCGCGAATGGCCAAAGCCAAGGCGTTGACCAGCAGGACGGGATTGATGTTGCGGCGCAGATAGACCACATTTCGCCGCAGGGTGTCGAAGTCCAGCGAGCGGACCAGCAGGCGGTAGATGCCACGCAACTGCTGCACATCCTCCAAGCGACCCACCGAGTACACCTGGTGCTCGTCCAGGAGGCGACGCTGGCGATCCAAGTCGATGACGCGCTGCATCTCCCCATCAATGCCGCCGCGATAACGCTGGCTGTCCACAATCAGACCCTGATCCAGTTGGATGAGATCGTTTTGCTGCAATGGCTGGCGAATGTTCTGCACGATGTCCAGGATGAACTTCTGGCGCTGCAGGTCCTCCAGGGACATGCGATCTGGGGGGGAAAAAACAATTAAAATTTGGGCCCCTTAAATGGGGAATACCTCATTTACCAATACCCTGAACCCGATCAGGATTCATCGTTATCCTTCCAGCAGCCACAAGGCCGGCCGCAAAGGCCACCAACAGCAAAATCCTGTTCATCTTGCTCTTGTTTCTCTCACTATTCACTTGTGAATCTGAAGGACTTGGGAGGATTTAGCTTGCTAAGACACAGACCAGCAGGCAACTGCATTTTCCATTCAGTTCGCTGCAGCTTTTATACCCCAAATTCCTATCTTTCCGAAGTGCATCCTATAGGCCTATCTCTTGACTCCCGATTGGGTTGAATGGCTTTCGTGGGGCGAAAATATGTTTATCAGTCGAGAGAATGCTAGAAAACCGCAAGCTCATTATGCAATTAAAAAGTTGTTGTGAGGTTGCCGTCACAGATTGTTCTCGAAATCGGTCTAAATCGGGCACGTAACTCCGGTTGGTTGCTGTTTGGTGGGTCTGGGTCACATGACCATCTATCTATCTTAATTGGTTCATTGATCTGCAAGCCACTGGCTCGATCTTCTGACTTTTGTTTGCGGTACGTGTTTGCTGGCAATTTAGATTTGCATATTTTTCAAGCAAACAATCTGCAAACTGCAGTTGCAATATGTAGCAAATTTAAAAACTGTACAAAAATGTTTAAAAAAGTCACGCATTTCACCAGGCAAATTCCATTGCTGATAAGGACAATAAATGCAAAATCTGAGCATGGAAAAATTCAATTCGCAGCTGATAAGAAATAGAATTTATGAAATTGTTTATGTGCAAAAAGTCAGCATAATCCATGTGCGGGTCACCTGTTAGACAAATTATAACATAAATGTTGCCAATGTCATTGCTAATTAATTTGCACGATGTTTTTGCTAATTGTATGTTTAATGATATTTGCTTAGAAATTGTTAGCAGATAATTGTTCTATAAAAATATAAATTTTGATTGGCTAATCTGCGTTGCTGTTAAATTGTGTTAAATTGGCTGATGGAATACCTGTGAAATATACGTATTATACCAAAAATAATGTGATAAATTTGTCAACATGTGGACTGCGATAACTCGTTGAATTTCAAAAAACAATCTCGTAAATAGTTTCTTTATGTCCCAAACTATCCAAAACATAGTTGAAAAAACATATCGAAATAATCAGAAAATGTAGGGCATCGATAGTTTAGGTTGAATCTTTCCATTTTTTTCCGATTTATTCACAAAACTTTACTGTTTTTTAATTTACTAGGGTATTTTGACAGGATATTTCGGCAGCGTATTTGGCTCTTTAGCCCCCTTTTTTACCCCTTTAGGGGGGTAAAAATTTTTTTAAAAAAAAAGGAAACAAAAAAAGAAGAAAAACAAACCCAAAAAAAAAAAAAAAAAAAAATTAAAAAAGACCACCTCCTTAGTTAAAAAAAACACCCCCCCCCCCCCCTCCGTCTGTCTCTCCCTTTTTCTTCCCCCCAACAAATCACACTTTAATTTAAAAATTAAAAAAAAAAAAATAAAACCCCCCCCCTCCCCCTTTAACCCAAAATAAAAAGGAGAGGCCGGGGAGCCCCCAACAAAAAACAACAAAAAACAAAAAAAAAAAAAAAAAAAAAAAAAAATAAAATTATTTTTTTAAAAATAAAATTAAAAATTATTATATTTTTAATATTTTAACCAACAAAAAAAACAAACAAAAAAAAAAAAAAAAAAACAAACAACAAAAAAAACAAAAAAAAAAAAAAAAAAAAAAAAAAAAAAAAATAATATTTTTAAAAAAAAAAAAAAAAAATTATTTTTTAAATTTTTTTAAAATAAAAAAAAAAAAAAAAAAAAAAAAAAAAAAAAAAAAAACCCAAAAAAAAAAAAAAAAAAAAAAAAAAAAAAAAAAAAAAAAAAAAAAAAAATTGGTGTTTTTAAAGGGATATTTTGTAAGCATGCATATAGGATATTTTGGGTATAATTATAGAGTATTCTCAAGGGAAAATTGGCTCCTTTCGTTCCCTTTTGTTAATAGATATGTTCAAATCCCATAGATTTTAAATTAGAGCTGATAAATTTTCTAATCCAAAAGTTTAAAATGCCAATGTAAATAGACCTCCGAGTGCAGTTCAAAAGTGAACCCATGCGGAGTGGGGCCGCAAAATGAAGGCCACGTAGCATTTGGCAGCGTCATTGTTCGCGTGAGTGAGTGATTGGCGATTGTGAAAGGATAAAGGATTGCAGTGGGTGGGTGCGCAATGCGGACGAGTCGATGCAATTTTTCTATTCACATTTAAATTGGCAATTCGTTTGTCCGTGGCTTTTGTTGCCTTTTTTTGGTTGTCTGTGCTGCGACAATTTTGCAACGTGCCTGGCATGCAACGGAAGTAAAAAACGCTACGTGGGTGGCCAAAGCTTAGATATTCTATATTTCTAGGGATGTGCTATATTCCGAAGAAAGCTTTTTGTAAAAATGTTTATGTACTAAACATCAAAGGGGAAAAAACTATAGGATTTCATTTGACATTATTATTTATCTTATATCTAACTCGAATTCAACTGCATTGACTTCTTATAACCTCTTTCCTACTTTTAAGAAAATTTAAATTGATTTAATAACCCTATTTGCGCCATACTGCAACATATGAGAATTTCAGCTTATGTATCTTAACAAGATTCGTAATATTTGCATTAAGGCCTAACATAAGTATACTGAAATCCAAGTTTGTTGTTAAAAAATATCTTATTAATAACAAATTTATTTAATATTCAAAAATCAAGAGTATCATATTGTCATATCAATTTTCTCTCTTTGTTTAAGGGATCAATCAATTAATATTGGTTAAATTCAGATAAAAGAATAATGACATATAGGTACTTTGTCCATCCCTGACTTCACTTGACTGTCATCATTGTTGCTGCTGTCCTGATGCCTTTCTAATGTAATTGCAATTGTTTGGCAGCTCCGGCGGGGCATTCATCCTTTAGATTTCAACTTTGGCCAGAAAATGGGCAGTAAAAGCGACTTTGATTTGCCTCTGCTGCACTTTTCCCGCTTTTTTTCGACTTGCCATTTTTATGCATGCCAAGCGCATTTGTGCGGCATTAATTGCTTCTTTATGCCGCCGCTCGCCCCTTGCTGCATGTTCAGCAATTATGCAGCTACAATTTCGCATTAATTGCTCCTTTGTGCCGCAGGGGTGTCCTTTTTGCACCCACTGTAAGCGGACTGAAAAAACATTCCGGCATTGTGAGCCGGTGCATTTACGGCGGAGGCGACTGGACTGCTGCTCGCTTTAATTGCTCCCGGCCTCGGACATTGGATGGAATGCGCTTTATGTGCATAGTAATGCCCTCGTCGATTGTGACACAATTTGCATTATTCCAGCACTGGACTTCACCCGCTGTGGAACTCTGGTTTTTATCCGTTGCGAAATTCTTCCTCGATCCTGTGGATTTTTGCAGACTTCCGTTTAATACAAATAAAAAACATCACCATTCCTTCCTCGATACAGTATAAAGTGCTAAATATAATAAGAAATTTCAATTCTCCGTTCGTTGCTCCCAGTTGCGCTGTTTCCAAGCGTTCGAAGTAATCTCTCAGGTTTTTGGGGTATCAAAATAAGGCCAGGCATCTGTGCCTGGACTTCTTATCACGGTTTGCAGTTAACCTTTCGGAAAACAGTGAATACTAACTTTGCTGATTTCTTTTATTTCTTAAATTATTTTCAACGTATTTAAAACATTTCAAGGGACTTCAGATGGTTATGTCCCGAAACAAGACTGTACCTTCTTTCTTAAAAAGCCTTTTTTAATATCTTCAAAATACTCATATCTTACCTAAAATTAATTTAATAACAGATTAATGACCTGCTTAAATAAGAATAATTTGTGGGTCAACGGTAATTAGCTCCCACTATATTTAGTTTAAACTTTAAAACTGCTTATTTAAACGGTTGCCTTCTATTCATAACTGTTTTTTAGTAAAAAGTATTTGCTAAACGATTATACAAATATGAATACATTCAATTCACCATTCAACTTAGAGATACTACCACCACTCTCTATATAGAGAATCTCCCACGCATTTGGAAATCGCAATCCCTCTCCAAGAAACACCCAGTGATAAGCTGTAGAGAATCGACAACACATCCTTGTCTCGAGTGCCAGTTGTCCTTGTTCTCCCGCCAAAGAATGGGCCAAGTCAAGTCAAGGCGAAGTGGTGGATGTTTCTTGGGAATCGGGTTCGGTTTGGGTTTCGCTTTTGGCTTTGTCGCCGCCCGCTTTGACTTAAATGCGATTTAATGCCTTTTTTGTTTGTCTTCCATGCGTCGGATATCCGTTCGCCGAGCTGTGGGCGTGATAAACCGCATCCTCCCCTCGCCGCCCATCTCCGCCCACTTTCTAGGCTGCTAATTTGCTTGGCGTTGTTTTTTTTTATGTCTCAACTTCGCCTTGCCGTCTTAATCTTATATCCTTTTTGCGTTTTCCTTTTTTTCGGCTGGCTTGGCATTAAAAAATTTGTGCGTCCTTTGTTGGGCTGATAAAACTGCTTACAAATGCTTAAAAAATTAAAATTTATTACATGCGATTATGTTGGTTGCCATGGCCTCTCTCGACCTTTTAGAGTGAAATAGCCTGAGAAATGCAAATGGAATGTCATCACTTTGGCGATTCAACATATTTCCGGGCATAACTTTTTTTTGTGGACATTGGCCAATTGATTCATGGCCACACAATATCCTTTGCGTAATGGTCTTTCTGGGCCACCTTAAACAGTCGGCAGTCAGCAAAATGAAATGGAATGTGAATGGTGTGGCCGGAATGAAAGAAAAAGTACAGCAAATAAATATAAATATAGTAATAATGAAGCATTGGGCCAAAAACGAAGAAGAAAAGCCAAAGTCTGCTGCCAAAAGAAAATATTTCTTTTTATCACAACGGATGTGAGTGTGCCAGGACTGAAATAGCAAAGGATGGAGGAAGGACAGGAGGTGGGGTCGGGTTGTGGAAGTGGAAGTGGCGATAGAGTCAGGGGATTGGGGTTACCTCCGCAGCATCCTGTCAAATAAAACAAAAAATTCCCTGCCTCGAGTAGTGTGATTACAGTACACCGTCTGGTTGGCTTACGAAAGAAAGGGAATAGCATTCGCTTTTCTTTTTTACACACACAAAATTGATAGGAATATACAAATATTAAAGTTTTCCTTGTTGATATCCTTTTATAATCTTATGGTCATAGAGTTAATTTACTGAATTACTTAAAACAAAAGAAAGGTTGGTATAGTCTAGCATGTATATCAAAAAGTAGTTTATTTACATTAAATAAATTGAGAATGTTGTATACCAATAACCATTCAAAATCAAAGTTATGCGTAAAACTTCTTATGAACAGAATTTGAATAAACCTTGGATGATAAAAACTAGAACAATTTTCGTCTGTGTATATTTGTCACCGCAATTCTTGGTACTCTCAAGCCCCCCTTTTCACTACATACTTCCTCCACACAAAGCAAATCAAACAAACTTTTATTTCACACGTTTTTCGCTCTGCTATTTTTCTCCCTCACTGACTCGCCCTCAATGTTTTTATTTGTCTTGAAACAAGTGAGTATGGAATAGCGAGTGATGCTGATGATCGGGGGTCGGAGGTCAGAGGATGGGGGTAAAGGGTCGCACGTGCAGCGCGTGTCTGTTAGTTTTGATAGCCAGTTGACTTTGCTTCTGGATCCCACCCAACCAATTGACCCGTTACATTTTTTAATAATTGCTGCTTTGGAGTAGTGGGTTCTTGAGGAAATGTTTTAAATAACTTTGTGACAAAGAATGAAATTCTTGTCTCAAAAATAACGTTTCATTCAAAAACTATTTTTAATGACTTGAAAGTTTAAATTATGTTTTATACACAAATGGTAGCTAAATTCTTAACCTAATCCCTTTTTGTTTGTCAGTTCAATGTTTATATCAATTCCAAAAATGGAAATAACTAACTTATATTTTTATTTTGTAGGTATATAAGTTATATATTTATATTTATATTACATTATTTTGTAAATATAAAAACACATAGTTTTTAAAAGGTCAAAAAAATATGTTGGTGGGTACATAAACTCAGAAAAAGGGTTAATTGTTGGAAAGGTGCGAAGTTAAACGTTGCACTTGGCTAATTTATACTTTAAGAGCAGCTTTTAAAACTCAATTTAATTCAATTATTGCTTCGTAATCTCTACAGCATCTCGGCAATTTGTAAGTTCCCACAGTCGAACAACTTCATAGATTGCTCTCTTGGGGTTGCTCTTCTTTCCCTCACAATTTCATTGGGCAAATATTGTTGTAGCATTTCACACAGTTTCGCACAAGTGATTTGGGCAGAATGGAAGCGACTGCCAGCTCCTTTTGTCTGTGTTTAGGTGAGGTCAAAATGCAAACATTAAATGCTTATTCAAGTTTGAGTCTGTGACTGTTTCTGTGGCACTATAAAAACGACCTTGCGGCCAACAAAAGGCACAGACACCACCCTACAATGTCTGTGTGATTGTGAAAACGACCATCAACACTCAAAGAAAAAGCATTAAAATCTAAAAAATAAAGGAATATTATTGTATTCTATTCAATGAGTTTCTTATTTTATTTTGTTTTTCTTATTATTCTTAAATTTTATACAAGCATTAAAAGATGCTAACTAAAAGCAACACAGGTTACTATCCCAAAATTTGGAATGGTTTTAACTATATAAAAATACTTCATATTTTCAAACATATCCTTTTAAGTGAACCAATAAAATAAAAATCTTTTTGATACACATTTTTTTGATTCTTACAATTCTTTTAAAACTGAGAATTTTTAAATGTGAAAAAGGATTTTTTTGAGTGAAGGACCTAGAAGCAGATTGGTATGTGGGGTAAGGTGGCTGAGTTGGGTGCGGTATCCTTAGTATTTGGCACTTCTTATCAGCAGTTTCGTTGCGTTGCAGCGAGGCATTTGTGTGACTTTTATGGGCGGCTTTTCAGCTGGTTACGATGCTGTCGCGATTGCCCTGTACCGCCACCCAGGCACCCATCACCCATCCACCCATCCTCCCCCGAGTTCAATCATAGTGGTGGTTGCTGCTTTGTTTTGTTGCGCCTCAGACAAAAAAGTGTCAATTGTTTTTCGGCCGAGCAGTATTGACACGCCTCAGCGGTGAGCGATTCACAGTTGGTCGCTTAAACAAGTGGGCGTGAAGGAATCCCATTAAGGACTATCGCCACCCTTCCGAAACGGCAGATTCACAGATTCATCCCCGCGGCGTGTCGGCAATTTAAACTAATAATCAACGCATCAGCAAACATTGTCGTTATTATTCAGAAGCCTGTGGCGCTTAGCAGTGACTCTTGACAGATTGCGAGCTGTGATTTTCACTCACGTTTTCACCAGGTCTTCACCAGGTATCTCTGAATGGGGTGGGTGGATATTTAGCCATCAATCCCCACAACACGTATGCAAATTTATACATTTACTTGAATTGCCGTGCTTGCGTGTAGTGCGCTAGTTAAAAAATCGTTTATTTTCTCACAGTTTTTAATTAATTTTCTGCTCTTTTTCGTTTATCACATTAAAGTATAGTTTTACAATCATATATTACATAAAATTGGACATGTTCTCGATGCCTTAACAAATCTAATGCACTAAATACTTAAAAAGCAATTGGCTTGGGTTCCGAAAACAGATAACCAAATTTTTAGAATCTAAAAGAAATTTTTAAAGAATCTATACTGAAAACATTTAGAATGTATTTAAAGTGATTGCAGTTATTCAAAGATTTTCAAAAATAAATCAAACCTAATTATTTCTTAAAGATTTAATTTCTAAGCTTTTCAAATAGATTTTTGTAGTCCACCAACAAAGAAAATCGCATTGGAAATAAACTAACTGCTAGGTCATAAACCTTTTAAAGTATAAAAAAATTATATAAAATTTAATATCTTTAATATAACTAAATTTCTTTTAAATAATAAAACATTTTATTGTTAAACCGCTCATATAGCCACTCACTTGAGATTTTAAAATAGTTTTTAATTAAATGGTTATCGAGCTATTGAAGCAAGAGATTAATAGAAATCTAAATAATTCATTTTCGTAAATAAATCGACTAAGAAATGTTAATTGAACTGAACTAAAATCCGAACCGGAAACATAACTCTCGCAGCAACTAAAGACACGCACAAATATTCGACTAACACTAGGTTCTAACATTAGGACTTTTAACTTGCGGGGCGGGGTGACCAAGTGGCCGATTCCAAGATGGATCCTCTGGGGAACGGTGTGGACTCCCGAGTGGATTCTCTATGTGGATAGTTCCATCCTAAACCACATGCTCAGCGGAGGAGGAGGTGCCGGCGCCGAAGCGCAATGGAGTCGGTCAAATGATGTTGGGCGTACTGACCGTGCTGGCCACCACTCCGTTCGGGGATGACTTCTCCGACTTGACGCATCCGTAGGAGGAGATGCCGGTGCCACTGCTGCTGGGCGGGGAAGGCGGTGTCTCCGGACTGATCAGCGGCAGATACCGCCATGGGTGGTAGATGGTGCCGGCGTACATCGCCTGGAGGCGGGCCTGGAGGTCGAGGGCCAGCGTGGGATCCAGCGGATAGTGGGCGAGGCCGGGGAAGGCGTTCGGCAGGCGGGGCAGGGACAGCTCCAGCGGCGATCCGAATCCGTACTTGGCACTCAGAGTGGCGGCGGCCAGCTGGACGTGATGTGGATGGGGATGCGGGTGGTGCGGATGCGGTGGATAGGAAGACTGGTGGGGATGTCCGTGGAGATGGGGCATCGACTGACCCAAGGGCGACAACTGGGGCTGCATGTCCTTGGGGGAGCCAGCCGATCCCGGGCCTCCAGGACCGGAAACACCATTGGCAGCACCATTAGCACCACCACCACCAGCTCCACCATTTCCACCTGGCACTGGTGACTTGTTCAGCGTCTTGGGCTTGCGACGTGGTCGATACTTATAGTCGGGATGTTCTTTCATGTGCAGGGCCCTGTAAATTGAACAAATGTTGAAACACTGATCAAAAGATCGAACGATTTAAACTTTGATGATATCATAAAGCCAGACAACTCTGGTCGTAAACCCCAAGAGGAGCGGAACCCTTCCATAAACCCACACATTGAGATACAAAATCCACAAGTTTATGTTGTTGTGTATTTAGCAAAGAACCCACTCCGATTTTAACTTCGATTTCCCAGCTGCAACAATGCGCAATTGTTGACATTTGTTTGACAAAACGATAAAACCTGATAAAAGGTGAGTTTGGGTCTTCTCCTCTTGTTTTACTTTCGCTTTTCTTTATTTTCTTTTCTTTTCCTTGGTCAGTTATGTCTGCCTTATCGCGGGTCCCGAAAAAAATACTGTTTTCCTTATCATCGCGCATTGGCAAATATTTGAACAGAATTTTTGGTTCTTTTCATTCGATATGCTCGCTCGAAAACCCCGAATGGCCATTAGTTTAAGCCCCTTCAGACGAGCCCTGCTCATTTATAAATGTCATAAAAAGTACATCACATTTCACATTTTTATTTTGGCAGGCCAATCCAATCAATAAAAGGATTATGACAGTGCAAACACAGAGGTTCGTCACCGTCACTATCTTAGGAGGTGTAAAATAACAAGAAGGTTGCACATTATTTTGTAAGATATGGAATACTCTTTTTATTTTTTATGGCCAGCTAATTCTAAATCGTTGATCTTTTATAATTATTATTATTCGAAGTCATGAAAACCATTTTCTCTATTCCAAATACGTTGTCCCCAAAGAATTTCTATAATTCGAATTCTCGCGTACCTTTAAAGACTTTTAGAAATAAAGTCTCTGATGATATCTTATAGAACCCTCTATACGCGCAGGTAATCCACATGGATGTCTGTGCTTAAAGCAATCCAAATTTCAAGGTGCTAATACCCCTTCGATAGAGTATGGTTAAAGGGGTAAACAAAAAGAAGCAAAATGCAAAATGAATGAAGCATTTCATGCGACGTGTCGTCTCGCTTTTGTGTGACAACTTCAATTGAAATGTTTACCCAAGATATGCCAGTGCCAATGGAATTCTGACTAAGCAGAGCGGACACAATCCCCGTCTCCGGAGCTCCACAATGCACCAGGAGCTCCTCACAATAGGGAGCCTTTGTCTTAGCTAATCGATCAAATTTTGTGGCCAGGCGGCACCGAGAGAGAATGAGCTGCCAACTGGGAAAACCGTAACTGAAACCAAGCTAGAATTTCCCATCCACCCTCAACTCTTTGCTATTGACTATCCCCACACAGAAAAAAACAAAAACAAACTTTGCTAATATAGAACGTCAATTTGGTTTTAATCATTTAAGGAAGCTTCACCCAAATCACTGTTGCTATTTGCACTTTTAGAATGTAAGATATACATAACTAGAAAACAATCAACAAAACTCATTTAAAAAACTCTAATAAATTATTTATAAATCCTGTATCAAAATTAAACTTTAGAAAATTCTGGAACCAAATTTAAAATTTTTAATAGGTTGTGTCTTGAAAAGTAATAACATCTAAGAGCAAAGATATTTGTATACTCATAAAGTCCCTTAGCCTTTTTGTGTGAAAGGTTTTTAAAACAATTGTTTGAACACCAAATTTTCTATCACTTTTTTAGGAGGTAGGTAACTTCCTAGTTATTTCCGGTCGTTTTTTCTTCTTTATTACTTTATTTTTCTTGGTTTAATTTGTGGAAGCCAAGTAAACTATCTCTAATCTTTTAAGAATATAACTTTAGTTCTTATTAAATTGTAAACTATAAGTTTCAAGATTGGAAGCTGCCTTGTTTTAAACAATGAAATATAAATGTCTCAATTAACTGTCTGTAAATAGTTTTCCTGCTCTTACTAAAACCATTTTAATTTGAGTTCAAAAGCTTTATATTCCCACTTCATCAAATCGTAGCGTGGCGCTCAGTGTATTTTAACCAGTCCCCAGTGAACAGTACTTACCGCAATCGCTTTGCCTCGTCGATGAATGGACGCTTCTGTCCTTCGGTGAGCAATTTCCACTCGGCGCCCAGGCGCTTCGATATTTCGGAATTGTGCATTTTTGGATTGTCCTGGGCCATTTTGCGACGCTGCCCCCGCGACCAGACCATGAAAGCGTTCATTGGTCGCTTAATGTGGTCGTGGCTGTGATGGGATCCAGAATTTGAATTCGAGTGGGCGTGGGAGTTGGCATTCGAATTGGCCAGATGGTGATGGTGGGACTGATGGTGGTGTTGCATTTTGGGCGCCACAGGACCAGCAACCGATGGTGGAACGGCGAGGTCAGCTGGCGGCGGTGGTGGGGTGCTGCTTCCCGCTCCCGATCCCGTGCCCAAGCCCATGCCCAAACCACTGGCCATTCCCAAACCCAAACTGATGCCGGGCAACTGCGGTGAGAGACTGCTGCTGTGGCTGTGATTGCTACTCCCGCTGCTCGTGTACCCATTGCTGTGGCTGTGGCTCCGGTGGAGCAGCGCCGAGATGCTCGTCATGATTGGGGCGGAACTCCGATGGGGCTGCAGGTGGTAATTATCAGGTGGTACTGCTGCTCCTCGAGCTCTGAAATGCCAACGGAAATGGTATTCAATAGATATGCCTTGTTAGCTTGGGGACTCTGTCTGCTGCTCCCGGCATGAGTCATTTAATTGAACCTCTCGAGGGGTTAAAGATTGCAAGTAGTTCACAAAAAATTCACAATGGGGTCTCTTTCACCCCTTTGAATATGTATCAAAAGGGGGCTCAAGTCGGCAAATCGGTTTTATGAGTAATCAAAGCAAACATTTGATCATTTTTCAAAACCGGATTTTGAAACTAAGAGATTGGGAGTTTCCCTTAAATAATGTTCAATTATAATTCGATCTTACAAAATACATTTGGTACTTTAGTTTTCAATGAAAACACTTTGTATATAAGATATTTGAACTTAGCTAAATAGGGTACAAAAAAAGATTTAAAATGATATTCAATTCGTTTTAAATACATAGGACATCACGTTTCTCAAAACGATTTTAGCAGATCTTCATGTTCATTTAGATTGGACAAAAGAGATAAATGCATTTAATTCAGTCAAATTTGTATTTGCATTTGTTAGAATGTTAGAAAAAATTTGGGAAAAATCAACACTGCAAACCTAATACCAAAAAGATCTGCTAAAATCGTTTTGAGAAACGTGTTGTCCTATGTATTTAAAACGAATGGAATATCATTTTAAATCTTATTTTGTACCCTATTTGTAAGAATCAGGAGTTTATAAATTTCATTTTTTACATTAGGTCGCTATAACTATTCCATTCTTAAGATTTTAAAAATTTGTATTTGAATTTTTGTGCTGAAACTGTGAAAGAGTAGTAAATTGTATATAAATTTTATTAAGCCCCATAATTTAAATATTAAATTTATGAAATATTATAATATTTCTAGGTCCAACTTACCTTGTTTTGAGCAGTTGATTCTTTTTTTAGTTACACCTTAAAACAACTTATTTTTGTATTCCATTAGAAACATGTCACTCAACCAACTATAAAATTGCACAATAACTTTAAATACGATCAATGTCTTTTGGAAATGTTTATTTCTATCTTAATAGTTGATCGCTGTATAACTCTTAAAATTACACAAATGCACAGAAACGAGTTATAAAATATTTGATAAAACAGTTCAAGATTTATGGTAGTATCCAATTTACGAACGTGGGGTGTATCTTAACCGTTATTCTGTTATTTGCCGTTAGCCGAGCGCAACGCGTCCGTTTCGAGTGCGCGACAGTTTAGATTTGAAAACACATTCGAAAACTTGCGACAAAAACGGCAAACAAACCAAGCCAAACGCAACAAAAAGGGGCAAGAAGAAGTGTGCCTCTGTAGTGGTTGGTCGCTGCTGCGTCGCTGCCGCCAAAAAGGACCGAGTGGGAGGGAGAGAGAGAGAGAGACATAGGGGAGATAGCAAGTGCAAGCGGGAAGGGTAGCCGGCGCGAGCGAGAGAGGGAGAGAGAGCTCTTTTTGTAGAGTTTTTTACACCTTCGGAGGACGCGTCAACGTGGCGGCTAAGTGATAAAAATTCACTGCTGCTGCTTTTGTATCTTTGTATCTGCGTTTTGTATCTTGTTGACAATTGTTCCGCGTTTGTTTTCGGTTTTGTGTCCATGTTTGCATTCTTGTTTACCGAACGCTGCTCCTTTTCCTCTCCTCCAGTTGATAATATCTGAATTTCATAACCACAATATCACAACCGAAAAATATCTTGATTCATTTCGATCGCTTCGGGTATTACTCGGAAAAATAAATACATTTAAGACTACTTAATCCAAACCACTTTAAAATGTTTCCGTCATTTTTTACCTTTATGTTAAGGTAAACATTAAATTGATAAATGTATTGTGCAGCCCAGTTTAGAAGTGCCCTACAATTTCCCCATTGTCTTATGTGACTAACAGGTTAGTTTAGTAATCTTATCATTGTTTAAAAGTATGAAAAGTATCCGTTTGATGGGTATATATAAACCAATATAAGATGCCCATGTTAGTATAATTTACTGCAAAAGTGTTTCAAAATTAAAACACCGAACCCTTAGTTTTAAACAAGTTATTTTCTGTGTATGGGACTTGTGTTTGCCCCCAAAATAGATCGATGCCTAATTTGATATGGTTGGGGCAAACTTTTCTGCTGGTAAGGTTATCCTTTATTTGTTGGTGAGGTCGCTCAATTGCCCTCCTTGTTTTTCATATACACATTGTACACACAGGAAGTTCCCGTTTCTTGTTGTTGTTGTTCTAATACCGATTTCTGTATAATTGCACCTATAAACTTTGGATCCCTTAATAGAACAACATTGAAGCGGCTTGCTAAAATTTCTTATAAATGACCCTCTTTATAATAGTTGGGTTCAACGTTCCGCAAGGGATCAGCTCCGTTGCCAAATACTTAGAAATTATATGTCTTCTCTTGTGTCTACAGTGTAAAGTAAACAAAAATAAATGTAATACGGCGGGGGTCACACAAATAAGTGACTTTATTAATATTGCCACTATTATCATTTTTCAATCGAAATTAAAATTGCCACGACCTATGCATGATTAATACAATTTATTACAGTGGAACTAATAGCTGTAAACAAATTTCAATTTAAATACTTTTTTAATACTTTTTTTAAACTTAGTTTATTTTATAGCCTGGAAAATTTTTATAAAAACCAATTTGGAATTAGTACTATTAATAATATTTTTAAAATGAAAAGGTATGAAATTTTCTCGTTGTCAACCTTAAGATTTTTGATTGATAAAACAACTCTTTTGACATTTTTGCCATATATTGCACTACCTCTTACAATTGTAAGTATCAAAATACAATTAGGTCTTTTGCACTGCATTCTTGTGGCATTTTTAAAAGACAACTGTTGGCGCCATAAAAAGATATCTCGCTTAGGGGTTGTTTTGCGCAGGCGTCGCTCTCCAAACGGTCGTAACTGTTGTAGAGTTTTGAGCCCCCCTTACCCCTCTAACCAACCCGCGTTTCACCCCCGCAGTACCTCTGCCCTTGACTTGTTCACCAAAACAAATGCTAAGTAGAAAACGCTTTTGGCGGGCTCCCCCTTCACCATCGTACGGCCATAAAAATGGCAGCGCTCTAGAAATGTGTGTGTGCTCCCCAGAACTCCAACATCCCCCCCATAATACACCCTCAGCCACCACCCCCCACCACCCTTGTAAGTGCGCGCATGTCGATTTCAGGCGCTTTGGACCAATGGCGTAGACAATGCTCCGGGAAGAAAAGACCGGGGAATGGGGCCGCTGCTTAGAAGCGTTCTCAATGGTGACGCGTTTTTTATCGCTTTTTGTTTTGCATGCGAATTGAATGCATTTTATTGGCCAAAAGCCAGAACAGACGGGTCCAAAACAAAGGCGCCAGCAACTGGTGGTCCTTGGCGAGGACATGCCTGAAAAAAGAAGAAGAAGCCCCTTATCGTCGACTGGCAGAGCAGCTCACTCCGCTGGGACGGCAGGATATTTGGCTCAGGGACCCCGACTTTTCTTCATTTGTTCCCACTTAATGGACATTATGGCTGTCCCTATTATGCGGTCATCTCCCAGCACAATGGAGAGCGGAAAGTGCCGACAGCAGAAATCATAGTTGGGTGAAAACCCCCTTCCACAGACTATTCTCCCACTTGAGGATTTTAAATCTATCAGAGATATGGGTCACAGCTAGCTAATAATATTATATAATACAATTTAAAGTCATTTTGTAACCTTATTTTTCTTCAAGTCTTACGAAGGAAAAAAAGCTATTTAAAAATGACAGAAAAAGAACTTAGTTTCGTAAATTTATTTATAAAAGCTTTTATTTAAAAGATGTTAGGCCTTCGTATAATTTTCTTGGGCATTCCATTACCCAAGATATTTCATATTCAATGATTTTGCATTTTTGAAAAAACCAACTATTGCAAAGGGATAACGATATTTGGGGATTTTTTTCTAGAGGTCTTATTGTCATAGCTGGAAAAATCTTTCAGGCTAGAACGTCAACACTGACCCACCAAATCATTCCCCACTTTTCCTCCTCCTTGCAGACATAATTTTGGGTGTTTTTGGAGTGAACCCACCATAGACCATCGCAGCATTGTTTGGCTGCGTTTAGTTGCAATAATTTATGGAGGGGATTTCAACGGCACAACGTGGCACAAAATTTTTGCAAACTCGTTTGTTCCTTCTTTCCCTTTGGTTTGGGGTGACCAAAAGTGGGAAATGTGGTCGCGCTAATCGTGATTTGTGTTTTAAATGAGGCCAAATGCAAAGCAGTCGAATGAGGAGGCTGATAAGAAACTAGGGTGGTGCTGGTGAAAGGTGAAAATAGTTAGTCCCATGCACATAGCTTTGGGCTGCCATGCTTTTTGGCTTACTATTTCTTGGTAGAATTTATACACTTTTCATAAAAACAAAATTTTATTCCGATGAATAGTAATAACGTTTTTTTATTTGTGTGTATCGACGTATTTGAGCTGAAAAGTTGCTCAGACATAATATTGACGATATCTTTGATATTATATTGATATTAATTTATAGTCGCTTGTAATTGTCACTTGTTATCGTTTATATTTTGTCGATATGGAGAAGGAACTAAAGTTGAACTACTTACCCAAGAAAAATGTAACATTGCTGGATAATAATATTTCGGTATGATCTTTGCTTCAAGTCAAGACACTCTTTTAGCGAACTAAATGTGCATCTAAGCCCAGCGGTAATGGAGCAAGTGAACCATTTTTGGGAGAAGGAATCCTAAAAATTGCAGCTGGAAAATGCAGAGTTAAAAAGAAGTACAATCAACTCCAGAATTATATGGGAGTAAGACTCTGAGACCTTTTTCAAGCTAATAACTAAATACAAAAGTGTTATAATGGCGCACTATATTAAAATGACTATGAATCGATATTATATGGAACTAGTCAAGGGAACCCGTACCCATTCTTAGAAATATGCATTAGAAAATAAAATCGTTCAGTTTGAAGTGGAAAGGTGTGCAACAATTGCTCAGCCAAAATCTAATTCCAAACACCAGTATCTTCAAATCGCTAAGCTATAAGCTGAACTAAATGGCATATATTTTTATCTCACTAGTGGTCAACTCTAATTGGTAGAGCCATAACCATTTTTTTTAACCCTTAAACTTATTTGGTTTGTAATAGAATTTATTGATTTTTGGGAAATTAAAACATTTGAATTGTATTTAAAATCCACATTCGTGAAGTTTTTTAACACCTGTATAAAGCGTCCTATGTCGCCAGTTAACATTTTATATAGTTGTAAGCTATGTTTATAAAATGGTCGCCATTGGCTACCCCGTGCTTAATATGAATTTTAAGAATCAAAGTTTCCTTTTATTTTGTTTAATACCTTTGTGTTAACAAATAAAAAGAAAATAAGTAATGACTAAAGTACAACAGCAAGTTTTGAGTAAACGACACCGTAAATTTATTGTTGTTTATTGAACACTTTTTCGAATGTTCACTGTATTTGAATTTCTTTACATGAACTTATTACAAAATGAGCGACATCTTCCGTCGTTAACTGGAACTACGAATCTTACACGAAGCTTACACGAATCTTACACGAAGCTTACATGAATCTTACACACGATTTCTACACAGTGCTTGAGGCACCATCTAGTGCTCGAATCGGTAACTATTTAGGTAGTTGGCAGATGGCGCTTTCGATATATAAGGCAAGTTCAACAAAATTCCTGTAGGTTCGCTATTGCAAATAAGAATGACATATATACAAAATAAAATAATTTTAAAATTAAAATAAAAAAATATAATTAGTTTTCAATATATTATAGAAATAAATTAGACAAATAAATTTAAGTGAACAAATATCGATAGTAAATTAAGTCGCAAATAATTTAAGTTATTTGACTTGAAATAACCGAAACCACAACTCTCTTTGGCCGAAACCTACCCTTAAAAGCAGAGACCCCCACAATTACCGCTAATTGCCGGCGCCTAAGAGAGCGTAAAATTAATTAAATTTACTTGGATTTTTGCACCTTAACTTGCGCGCGCCCATTAATTAGTGGCCAACGGTAATTTCGCCCGAGGTTCAAACTTGAACGTTAAGTTGCTGCAGCTCCTTGAGCAATTCAGTTCGCTCTGCTGAATTTTGTCAACCTGATTGGCCAGAAGTTGCCGTCATTAGGAAGCGTTTAGCACTCTTGACTTTTGCCAGCCCTTCATTTTCACCCTCACGGGCCAAAGAAATAAATC